TCAGTCGAACCAAGCTGTTGACAATGCACCCGAATGAAAATATGCATTTGTTTTAGTTGATCCCGCAATTAAATGAATTTGCAAAAATATGCGTTTGCAAAATCATGCGTCGGCCGGGAATCGAACCCGGGCCGCCCGCGTGGCAGGCGAGCATTCTACCACTGAACACCGCCGCCCGCGTGGCAGGCGAGCATTCTACCACTGAACCACCGACGCTTCGGCAGCGTGGAGGAATTTCTTTGATATCAAATTCTGTTGATATCTTAAATAAGGGTTTGTATTCTTTGATCCACTTTGAGTGCAGATGGAATTGATAATGCTAATCGCTGAATAATTGTCTCATTTAATAACAATAATAAAACATTAAAAATTGAATTCGTTCGTGGATTCAATTCAAATACGTTGTGAACAATGACAAGATTGAAGTACACCATTGCAACCGAACCTGACTGTACCTCTTCATCTGCATGGTATCTTCACTCCATCCCTTGCTAGTAATTCTTAGATTCTTTGTATATGTTCTGTGTAAATGTTTACTTTTTCGGCAAATATGTCGCTCTCCAGGTGTTTTCAATTTCTCACGTGTTTTCACTCAATTTTTCCAACTTCTGTTTACTTCTTCCAGTTTAATCGCTTAGTTTCACAGTCGAAAGGCACACATCGCGTGCTCTACTTCTCTCCTCGAACTAATGCTCCTCTGGTTTCGAATGTTCCAATTCCTCTGCTCAATCACCAATTGCATTAAAAATTTTGTACAATCGCGTTTGCCATTTTTACGATCGTTTCAAACTTGCAGCACACTGCACGTTTGATACTGTAGGAGGAGCTATTCAGTATGTTGTCACATTGCATATTTGCACTGAATTCTTCTGCTGCTCAAGCTAAACTCAATCGAATAGCCTGCTGGGTGGACGATAAATCACAACCCACCAGCACTTTCATTAAATACTCGTAATTGATGGAAATTCAGTAGTTTCCTCACACACACCACAAATTTGTTGGTTATTCATTCACTATATTCAATGTTTGTTTTGAAGTACGAACATTGACAATACGAATCCTAAATTACAAGAGTACGAAGTTTCAAAGTCTTGGTTGGCACGTTTTTCCTCATATTCACGAATTTGTGCCTGATTCGCGTTAATTTTCTGATGATTTATTCTGAATACGGATTCAAGGATTTCTCGTCAACTTGTAGGCTGTGAATATCAGTCGAATGATTTTACTATAAGAGAAAATTCAAATTGCTGTGTTAATTTGTAATTTGTTAAATTCTAAAATTCGCCTCCAAGGTCATTCCGAACTAAACATAATGTGCGGTTGTGATGTTTTATTACTGATTTTTTGGATAATTTCGGATTTGTTGTGGTAGTTTAGCAGTATTAGTTGAAACCTACGGTGTTTATTTAGAGAATGGTGGATAGAAGGGGATTTTTTTAAAACGAGATCCTTTACGATGACGACGTTCGGTTTGCTTTGGATTAAATGCTTATGTTATTTGCGTTGTTTGCTTTAGTTCTTTGGCATTTATTCGTTCGAAAATGTTTTTCTAATTTTCAGTTATCATTAGCGAAGCTTCCCATGGCTTTGTTATTATTTTATAGGTATATATGATTCATCCATTTGATCCGTATGTCGATGTAGTTGTACGTGTTCTGAATTTGATTTGCGGTCATAATTTGAGTTATATTTTCGGTTTTATTTTCAGCCCTGGATATTGAGCACCGAAAAGCTAGAAAAAGGAAGTGATATCTAGTGATTTTCAACAAAAGCTCTCAAATCTTCAAATCAAATATGGTTAGTTATTGAACACGTTATTGCTGCAAAAGAGTCTACTTTAAATACAAATATCGGTCATTTCAAATCTCTTTTTAAATTGATATTCTGAGTTCATAAACTATTCTTTGGTGCATTTCGATGTCTTGAAATTCACAAAATCAGATTGATTCCAGGCTGGCGTTCCGTACAAAACTGAAAAACCCGTGACTGTCGACGAGGCAGAGCACCGTATCCGCATTACGCTCACTTCACAAAACGTTTCTTCACTTGAAAAGGGTTCGCAAATTCAGAATGCATTTATCTCTCAGCTGTGATTCATCAATGAATTGTTTTGTTCCAGCACGATCCAATAATAGTCCGTAATTCATTGTAAATTTCAGTTTGTGAACAGTTGATTCAAGGAGCCAAAGAAAAGAGTCTTGTGGTGAAAGGTCCGATTCGTATGCCAACCAAGATATTGCGTATCACCACTCGTAAGACACCATGCGGTGAAGGCTCAAAGACCTGGGATCGCTATCAGGTTCCTTAATTCATTTTTTGTTGTTCTGATTCAATTCAAGTGAATAGTGTCAATACACTAATANAAAAATGTGTTGCATTCTTCGTTGAGATTATAAGAGAAATTTTATACGGTGGAAAGGAAGTTATATATCACGGGGTTATTCTGAGATGAAAGTTTTTTTGCAATTTTCATGAATGTAATTGAAAATTGTTTCAGATGCGTATCCATAAGCGTCTCATCAATATGCACAGTCCAAGTGATGTGCTCAAGCAAATAACGAGCATCTCAATTGAACCGGGTGTGGATGTAGAGGTGACCATCAACGACTCATAAACATCCACATGGATACCAATATCGGAGAGTGATCCTACGATACTACACGCCTTTCATCGTCTCCCCTCTCTTTTCGTTACCAAATTCAAAAATGTCATTTTTCTTGACGTCTTGACTTTGCTCCACTCCTTTCATCAGTTGCTTCAATTCATTCGTCTATTTATTCAAGGTTATTGGGCTCTAAGGTTTTAATGAGTATTTTATGATTAAGATTATGGTGGCGTTTGTACGTATCAATGGAAATTACCTCTGAGTGAGCATTGTTTTTGTTTGTTTTGTTGTTGTGTTATTAAGTTGAAAAGATGAATGCCACATAAAATGCTTGTTGTCAAATGTTTCGCGTTGATTCGTTATCATATTATTTTTGTTGCTGCCCTATATAACGAAAAAAGAGACAAACGATCATTCAATACGATTATTCACTCATGAAAATATCTCGTTTCAATGACGAGTTTTTCAACGAAACTACATCCTAACGTACATACCAAACTGTGAATTGCTCAAGGGCGCCCAATTATTCTACAGACTCGATCAGTCGTTTGATATGTGAACGAACGCACTCTGATTGACACTAATGTATTGGGTGAATAATGCAAAACACCCAGTGAATATGTGGTGTAATAGTTAATTGCGTTGATTTATCGAATCTTAGTGTCAGTATGAAACACTTGAGATCGATGAATAATTAACTAAATATGTGTATTCGGTTACGAAACTAAACTTTCGTGGGCCGCTCAATACAATTCACCACAATTGTGAATTACAAACTCATCGACTTTGTCACAAAACGTTAACAAGATGCCGTATTTCTGATATCCTTAAGTTACAGCTGAGTTGTTTGGTAGATGACGAAGTATCGTGATTCCTAGTTGGTTACAGGGTATATGTGTGTGGTGATGAAGTTTTGCTAGTTGTTGATGTGTACTTGATGATGAAAAAATATCAGTGATGTGGGTATTGTACACATGGATGCTGAATAATTATCCAGTGATTTCGCTGAATTAGCCAATTGTCCCATTCAGTGATCAGGAGTTGATTTCAACTGAAGAATATTTGCGTTGCGAGAAAATTGTTCGCTCGGCTCACTTCTGAAGTTTTTGTAGATGGTTTGCTAGACGAATGCAGTCTGTTATCGTCACCATTAATTTTCGCATATTCGAAGGATTGTGGTGTTGATTGTGTCCGGATCGAGGCTTCTTTGCTTCCATGCAACGACCGAATATTTTAGTGGTACAGTCAACTTCATCCTCATCGCAACAGTCATCAACGGCAATGGACACAAAAAATTCGAAATCACAAAAAACTTCGGTTGAAACCACCGAAACAGACGACGCCGAGTGTGCGATATGCTTTCAGCCATTCACATTGAAGGCAACCTTACCTGGTTGTGGACATTCGTTTTGTTTCCTATGTATTAAAGGTTCGTTTTTTTCATTGCTGCTATCAGTGGAGTGCCTATTTTAGCTGAGTAATATGAGCTCCATTTGAGTGGATGTTTATAAATTCAGCTAACGGGTTTCATCATATTATTTTTATTATTATTTGGACCGTCCGTAAAAGTGCAATTGATTCGACGTATGCAAGAAGGTGATAATTCGTTCAATCTAAATGAATGACCTAATTGAACAGCACCTTAGTTTGTTGCTCGCAATCGCAATAGTATTGTGATGGTCCTATAGAAGGAAATCACAATCAATCAATCACCAGTTGGCTGCAAAAGAAAAGAGACCTTTAATTCATATTTAGTGAAAACTTCATCCGAACCTGATATGTTTGTTTTTGACCTGTAAAGTAATGATTGTATTGTATTGGTTGAAAAAACTGTTTCATTGCCATCAGCAAATGGTCATATTGAAGGTGTTGCACGAAGGCGTGCATCATGCCCGTTGTGTCGTCAACCGATTCATGCCGAGATATTCCAAGATCCTGTTGTTATGGTCGATAAAAATGTTGTTAAATCTCCATTCCTTTCTCTTATTCATTCTAAAATCCTTTTGCTATTCTTGCGTAAAAAATTGGCAATTAACATATTTACATTGTCTAAGTTTAGTTGATTCATAGAACTCATCCTCAAAGAGCGTTTTGCTGGCTGAAGACAAATTATGTTCCGGTAGATGTTGAGATATAAAGGTTGAAATAGGCAGAAGTCATGAAATGAATGCATGTCTGATATGCTATTACGATGGCATGAATAGTCTCACGAGTTTGCAATCATTTCAAGGTATCATCCACTTCACAGAAAACAGCAACCAGCGAAGACGTACGTTGTCGTGACAGCGGTGACTGTAGTGGTTCGTCGCAACATAAAAATTTGCCATCAGCTGAAGGAAACGAGAAGCAATCCGTTGAGGCAACAACAGAAGAGCGAAATGCGATCACTGTGCGATGGTTTTATCAGGTGCTTAGCGCACAGATTCTCCTTGACAATCGCTTTCCCAGATACCATAGAAGTGATCATTCACGTCGGCAATTTTCGATTGATTTGAATGTTTTCAATTTTTTAGTAGCAGTGATTTGGGTCGATCGTTGTGTTGTTCCACTCAAATTTTCGATTTCCTCAGGCCGAATGCCTTCGTGAATTTCATGGTGTTAAGAAGAGATTCAAGCGAAGTGAAAAAAAACTAAATTTTCATTCAATTCAATAAGTTTGGCTTTGATTAAGGCCCGTCATGGTGGCTGGTGGCGTTAT